GATCCGGTGGGACGGGGGAGAAAGACGGAGCACCCCGAGCGGAGGGTGAGTCGGCATGTGCGGCAAAGGAGAGTGAGGGAAGCCGAGCGGACCGACTGAGAGGAACGCGAGAGGAGACGCGGGTGCAAGAAGGACGAAACGGTTCTGTGGTTCGGTGCGAGGGACAAGGTGACGTCGGAGCGACGAAGACGATAGGAATATCGGAGAAACAGAGAGGGAGAGCGGAGACCCACATCCTGCCGACTCCTACAACTTCAACCACCAGCTGGCTACACCTCTACGGGGGCGAGTTATATGTGAAAAGCACGTGGACCTTCGAGAGAAAGAAGGACGAGCGGATTCATTCATTTCCTCGTGTGCTTCGTGGAAAAGATCTGTCGCTACTTTCGTCAACGGTCAACGGGGGTCCACAGGTGAACGCTCCGACTTTATTTCGGGAATTCGTTTCGACATTTTATGGGGAAGTTTTAGAGAGGCTTACGTTGGGTCAAATTGTCATTTCTATTGGTAGGTGACATCTCTTCGACGCTTTCTTTTTTTGGAATAAATGTATACACTGTCTTGAAGTGTACTTTTTAAGGGATTTTATTAAGAAGACACCTGTTAAGTGCAGCGAATTTTATATTGTTAAAAGAGTAGCATGTTTTACATTGTTAAAAGTGTAGCGAGTTTTATATTGTCAAATGTGGAAGACACAGAGACAGATTTTGGTAATAAATAATAATTTGCAACATTGAATATCTGAATGTTAAATTCTCATAGATTCAAGATACGAATATTTGAGTATTGCTTACATACTCAGCTGTAACAGTTCAAAACTCAAGAGAATATTACAACTTCATCTAAAATGTCACCAAACGGGAGTTCTACTTCGCTGTAAACCTGTTATTACTGTCAGCTAATGTCCCTGCAGAATATTTCCAACGAAAATGTCCGCACACTGAACATTACCGTCAACAAAAATCCTTACATACTGCATATTACCGTCAACAAAAATCCCCACATATGACGGTCAACAAAAATCCCCACATACTGAATATTACCGTCAACTAAAATCTCTACTGCAGATTACCGTTAATTAAAATCACCACATGCTGAATATTACTGTCAGCTAAAATCACCACACGCGTAGCAGAAAAATATCAATGGTCTTCAAAACCATCAAATGTAATCAATGGTTCCATGAACAGCACGATCGATAAGAACGTCGCTGAAGGAAGCGTATAATGGCGCGAAAATAAATGCAATAATTTGCTGTCGGCTGGTGTGACGAGTACGATGGCAGGTAACAATAAAAGTGCAAAGAATTTTCGTCTTCGAGCGACGCGTTTCAGTCGGAACGAATGTATTTGTAACGGAGGACGCGCCTCTTAGGGTCGAATCACGACAGAATATTGTCGAGGTCGATGTCGGAGAAATTGAGGGGAGAACATTAAAACACCGAGGGTGCGGACAGTAATAGTGGCGCCGACGAGGGTAGCTCGTCGCTCAAAAGGGGTAAAATTTGGACTTAATAAAGACTGGCTGCGTAGTAACGAAACACGTACTTATATTCATGCGAAATTCTCTGTTTGAGAACATTTTCATGCTGCTGATCCGGAAATGCTGATTAACTCTCTGACGCGCGGTAATATGCACAAACAACTCGAATGCTTATTCCCTTTATACACAAATAACTACTTGAAATCTTCGAAAATAAGTTTCAGACATTTAAGAAATATATTAAGTACAATTTGATACGAAGACCGTGAACTAATTTGCTTTCGTTCAAAAATGAAGTTGTGTACGTTCGAAGAGTCATGGTTCGAATCTGCATTACAGATGACGGAAATAATTAATTTGTAAGTATGCAAAGCATGTGCTGAGTCAAAGATACGTTGCAAAAACTGTTCACGATATATTCCGAGACAAAGTAGCCTGACCACTTGATGCGGCAAAAAATGTAGAGGGATATACGCCATAGCAGGCGTAATGCTTCAGATTCGCCCGGCAGATTGGCGCATTTTAATACATATCGTTTATAACCGGCATATTTCTTTCTAACTTCGCTCGTTCCCCGAGCTGTATGAAATTTTCCATCTCGCGTTATTTCACTCGTCAGAGCGCGCCAAAAAAATGATTTCGTTTCACATTTCTCGAATGATTCGCAATCAAACTCCGTTCGTTCCGACCGAGCTAGAAGTCTTCAGCCGCCATTTTGATTTTACCGTTAACCTTAATGACTTGCCTGATAAGATCTCGAGCACGCGTTAATTATATGATAAGACGCGAATTTGCGCCACGCACCTGTCGCCCTCGCCCCATTAACGTACCACCGAACCGCTTATCATTCGTCTTGCACGTCCGACGAACATTGTCATCGTTTCGATCGAATTCGCCGACAGAACGAAACGAAAATGGCTGGCTATCGGCTGGTAGCTTTGCAATTACCAGTCGGGGGTTCATCGCGCCCCTGAAGATAAATGAGACAGTGGATCAACGTCGACGAATTCCGACTTCTGTGTACGACGATTTATCAAAATTAATGACCGCGAGGCCTACCAGGCTGGCCGTGTAGGTAATTGGAGTGCATTCTGTAACTTGCAATTGATAGGATGTATGCTTAAGGAACGTGGATTAACTACACAATTTCGAGGAATTTTAATATGACAGAAGTAGGTGATTTTTATTTCACGATACTTTTTAGCGTTAGGCTCAGTTACAATTTTTGAAGTAGCGATTGAAATTTCTTTTTAACCTTCTAGAATTTTTGAAGTAGTCAAGTGTGTTCATTTTTTTAATTATCTAAATGTCGAAGTCATATTTTTTAAGGAATGTAAAACTTGTTAAAATTAAGTGACATACTTTTGAAACTTATCCTTTTGATGCTATGATGTTGACAGTGGTAGATGTATGACAGACATGTAGTCAGACGAACATATGTAGCTAATGTCACCAGCTGAATTTCATTTTGCCACCTCACAAGATTAATAAAATCTTTCAAGATCGGTAATACAAGCGGCTCCGAATGTTAATCGAAGAATGTCAGAAGAGACTGATTTAGATAGTAATTAAGTTCAAACACTGAATTTTCAAAGAATGCGAGGGTACTACATTAAAAAACCTAATTGTCGCACAGTCTAATACATAATCTAAATATTGTATGTACTTCTAGGAAGGTATAACTAAGAGCCTTACAAATATTTCTAGCTCTAAAAATTCTTCACCAACATCCAAATATTATAAATAGTCTTTATATAAGCGTATTAAATATTTTTTCATGATTAGCTAAAAAAGCAGCACTACCTACCCTTAAATACCCCTAAGCGCACATCGGATAGAGACTGAGCCCCAAGAACGCACCCCATCTTAATCGTCCAAACTTATTCCGTTTGCACAGCGTAACCACCGACTGACCCATCCCAGACTGAAGCAGCAGTTCGGAATCGGTAAGAAAAACTTGCAGAAACGTACCGGAGGACCGTCCACGAGGTCGTAGGACCAGCAGCCCCCTACTTACCGATTCTTCGTCCGAGAAGTCAGTGGAACCCTCGAAAGGGTGTCTCCGATGGTCCGATCAGCCCTTAAAATCACATCGTTAAAAGCCACGGTGTGGCGGGTT